TATCATAGGCCATCTAAAATCGACTGTTTCTGTTCATGTCGTCAGAATCAATGGGAACAATTAATTAACTTACATTGGCGAAAGTGTACAGATTGCTTTTACTGTACAAACTCTCATTGTAATGAACATCACCCTCTATGGGATAATTCTCCGTTGGCAGGAGCCACTCGTCGATTGATTTACTTATGAAGTCATACTTTCGCTCTCTCTTCTTGATTGGTATGGGGCTATCTACTTCTGGTACAAAGCCGCTGAAAACGGCCAGGTCGCCTCATGGAGTTTGTGCAAAGAGAATCAGGCTCATTTACCTAAATACGTTCTTTCCAAGGTCTTCTTTCAGCTGTTCGGCGGAAGGAGCACAGTTGTTTGACAGTTCCCTTGCCTTTGCTTCAAGTTTGCAGTTCCATCTCTAAAAGTTAGGAGAGTAATCGTTAACCATAAGTAATAGCGTCAATTGACGATTTGTGGTGTTCAACGTAGGTGGATCAAACTTAATTCCGTATTGCGCACTGAAATAGAAGATGCTGCACCAAGAGGTTTTTCGCTAGTGTGGTCTTGTAAGTTGACTGCCGTTCAGTCCATACTATTACTACTGGCCTACAGGGCTTTGTCTGAGATCTGGTGCGATAGAACGACATTTTTAGATGCATAGAGTACGATAGCAGGAGCAGGTTTCCACTGAACTTAAGACTTCACCTCTTTACTTTTCCTTCATTTTCACGGCTCCTAGAAGATGTGTCACTCCACCGACTACTACTCAGAACTGAATTTTTGAGCGAGGGTTCTCTTCGTACTTACCAGTTTGAACAAATTTTTCGCGGGTGGAAGGAAGCCAGTTTGGAAACCTGGCGATTCTCCCAGAGCAAGTACATTTCGAGTTCCTTCGTGATAATATAGGATCTTATAGCGAGTGTTGTCGTCCATGAGTGGGCCGCGGTTTTCGCCACAGGACTCTGTAAGAACCGAGTGTTGCATAATAATCGTGTGAAGAGGTATTTTCCCCTGAAAGTGTTTACGAAAGCGCAAAACCAGGCTCGCGATAAGATCCTA